GGGGGGGGATTGCCCTGCTCCAAGCCTTTGCTCTGCCATGCTCAGGTGTGCCTGCTCCGCTGCACCCTGCTGTCGTCCCTCCTCCTCCTCCTGGTCTGCAGCATCCATGAGACGGAGCAGAACAGCTACTGCCAGCAGATCATCACGGAGAAGCACCTGGCCGAGCTGGAGGAGCTGGTGAGTGCCCTCCCCGGGGTCTGCTGCGGGACCGGGGCCCGTTTGGGGCTGGGCAGGCGCAAATCAGCCCTTATTTAGGGCTGAAAAGCAGCAAATCAGCTTATTTTCAGCTCTACCAGCTGAGCATCCGTGGGCATGAGGGACAAGCAGGCACCGGGGGGTGACACACGGTGGTGCCTTTAGCAAGGGTGGCCACGGAAAAGTGCCGGTGGGAGAAATTGAGAAAGAGGGGAAGTGGGAGCTGGCAGGAGGGTGGCAAGGAAGGGGGCACAAGCGGGGCTGGATGGGTGCAGGGGTGATGGGGAAGCGGTGGAGAGGACCGGTGCTGTGGGGCCATGGCGTTTTCCGTGCGGCTGCGGAGGGGGTAAGCGGAGGAATCCGGCTGCATTCCTGAGTCCAGCTGCTTGCCTGGAAGCTGGGCTGGCAATGGGGCTGTGGGTGGGTGGCAGGCAGTGAGGGGGGCCCGTTGGCCAGGCTAGCTGGGCGATGGAGCCAGAGCCAGGCTGGCGATGGGTGCCTTCATCCCGTGGGCAGCTCCGGGTGCTCGCACCCACCCCACAGGGAAGCAACTCCTGGCCCCATCCCGGCTGCTGGGGCCGTATCCCGCCCTGGCCCTTGGCTCACCTCTGAGCAGGGAATCACGCGGATGCTCGGGAGAGAAACGGGAATCGGGGACACGCAGGGATTTGCACAGTTGTCACAGATTAAATTCTGCCGTTGCAGCGAGTGGGGTGTGCGGGCGAGAGGTGACAGCGGCACCTCTGAATCCTCGCTGCCCGCTTGCTTTGCACCGAGCTCTCCGGCTCGCAGCTGTGTCCGGACTTGCTTTACCTCTTCCTCTTTAAGCACCAAGCTGCGGTGCCAGGAGCTGGCAGATGTCGTGTGTGCAAGCTCAGCTTCCTCTGCCCGAGCTGTCCCTGCAGCCCCAGCACCCCAACGTCTCCGGGGAGCCTTTGCTTTGCAACCCCCGGGGATTAAAAGTGGGTGCGTGGTTGGGGGGGGAGAAAGGGGATGGAGCAGGTTTGAATGGAAGTCGTGGTTTCTCTGCCGGGGATTACAGCCCTCTCCTCTTCCCGCTGGCCGAGGAGCCGGCCCTC